AAAATGCTCCAAATTTGCAATTTGCTCCAAAAAGACCACCTTTGTTTAATGATGTTTCTCATTTGCAAATTAATTTTAAAAGAAAATCTTTATTTGCGAATGATTCTCGTGCACGAGCTAATGGTAGACAAAAATAAATGGATCTTTTTCATTGCACATATTGCAATCGGAAGGGTCATTTGTGCGATTATTGCTTTGACCGTGTTAGTGCACTACATATGCCTAAGAGGGTTCATAACCCAAGGGCTTTGAGCTTTAATGATAGGGGTCATGTCCCTAAATCTTTTGGTACCAAGAGTTCTTGGGTACCAAAACAAATTTAAACTTTAAACCAAGAATTTTAGTGTTCTTACTTTTTCCTTTCTTGGTTTTAAAAAAACATTTTTGGTTTAAATGGTTGATTTATGATTTCATTTGGTTGATTTGTTTTCATTCGAAAACTCTTTTTGCATGATTCTCATGTTTTCTCTCTTTTGATTTCATAAATCAATTTTTTTTTATACATGGTTTTTTAGGCTTGTATTTTGAGACACCTATTTATCGTGACATATCATTATGTGTTCTCATTATCTCTTGGATGTGAGTGATTTTTGGCATATCATTTATGCTTGCTCACATATTTTCCATGATCTTTTATTGCTTATATTTCATATGGCTTTTTGATAGGGGGAGCTATTCCCTTTCTATGTGTTATACTCACCCATGCATATTGATAGGGGGAGCTTTCGCTCTCTTAATTCTTTTGTCCCCTTTTTGATGTTGTCAAAGAGGGAGAAATATTGTGAGTATATTCTTTCTTGTTTATATGCATGTGAATTATAAATTATATATTCATTTCCTTCATGCATATATTTCTTTTTGTAAATTATTTGTCATCATCAAAAAGGAGGAGATTATTGGCCTTCTTGTTTTAATGATGTTTAACAAACAATTTACAACTAATGTTGTTTGTCTAGTATTTGTGTTTTCGTATTTATTCTAGGCAAACAACGAGTTGGAGGATGGATGGAATAGAGTTTCAACGATCATATCCAAAGGAGGTTGGCGGAATGTCGGTGAAGCTTATGCAAATTCAAGTTGAAGATCCAAGTTCAAGCTTCATCCGTAAGATTACCAAGAAGAGCTTATTGAAGATCAAGATCAAGCTTGAGTAATTTAGTTTAGGATTTATATTATGTGTGTTAAGTACGTTAAGCTCAATATCATATACTCACACACAGTTATTGGTTTCTTCGTATATCTATATAGTTATATAGATATACATAAGTTTTGGTTTCTATGCATATATATAGTTATATATATACATACACGTGTTTTGGGTTTTTATGTTTATAAATATATATTATTACATATTTCATACTCTATTGTGTTTTAGTATTCATTGCATAGAATATGCAATTTTGTGAAAATTCTATATTCTTAGTTTTTGGACTTAACAATAATCATATACATATTTTATTAAGTCTATATAATCATTGTGCAAAGTTTCAAAACATGTTTTATTCAAAATATCAAAATTCACATGTTTACATTTTCTTGTTTTGAACTATTTTGCAAAATGATGATTTTTCACAAATGGGAAATGTAATTTGGAAAATTCTTTTTGTAACATGCTCATTTACATGTTTATATATATTTCCCAAAGTTTCATTATTTTTGGACTTCATTTGTTATTTTTAACATATTTTCCAAAGTCTCAAAAATCAGCTTTTAAAATCCAGTTTTCTATAGTATCAGATTTCGGTCGACCGCACCGGTCGACCGCTCCTATGTTCTTTCGTCAGTGGTGTAGGCTGTCTAAAAATAATAGAAGATAGCTGATTCCCCATCAAACACTGATGATGGAAGTTACAATCGGACGACTTCCAGAAGGCTACAATTTAAAGACTTTCACATGTCAAAGAGCTAAAGCAAAGATTACAAAACGACGATCTTTAGCAACACTCTGGTAGAAAGAGATTACGAATCGATGACCTCTTCAAACCAAGACATGGAAGCCCTCTCTGCGTACCATCATCAAGACACAACACCAATTCAATCACCTACCGCGGCAAACATAAATGCAGCTTCTTATGTGAGATGATTGATCTTGATGGCTGCGATAACAACATGACTAATATTATATTAGCAACTATCAGAGGTGCTGATGAGCAGTGTAATGATATTCGACACACTGAAGAGCACATGGTTAAGCTATGCAACGAAATCTTAGTGGAGATCGTGATCTGCAGTTGATAGGGCGTTATTGAGATGCCTCAATTGTCACAAATGGCCCGAATAAGACCTTCTTTACTGGTCATTGGTGTCATCCATATATAAAGACAGAGAAGCTCAAACGCAGCTCCAATCGTTGCCAATCACAGCTCTAACGCAGCTCTAATCGTTGCCAATCACAGCTCTAACGCGGCTTCAGCGGCTCTCCAACGCAGCTCATCATCGCTGCCCAACGCAGCTCATCATCGCTGCCCAACGCAGCTCATCATCGCAACTCCAACCGACGTCGAACGCAGCTCCAACCGATGTCGAACGCAGTTCTACACTGCTGCCAAACGCACCTTCAAACATCGAAGAACGCAGCTCAATATCGCTGCAGAACGCACCTCCAGATACTGCGTTCAAATACAGAATTTAGGCCAGAACGCATGTCAAAATTCTGACCTGTTCAAACGCGATCCAGGCAGTTTCAAAAACCGCTCATCACCCACGATCTGGGGAGTGGTTTTAATGGGTTGTTACAACCGATTAATGAGGTAACAAAACCTATCATTTAGGAGCGGATTAAGGGGTCAGTTACACCCCTAATCTCCCTATAAATATCAACAAACTCAACAGAGTTAAGGGATCTCTTCTTGGATTGCTTAGATCGGATTTTTGATAATCAGATCGAGGGACGGATTTTTGGTAAACAAAGGAGAGAATTCAGATCATTCTCTTCTCTTTTGTAATCAGAAATCCAAATTGTAATCGAGAGTAGAGAGAATTGTAATCATTCTTTTTCTAAACAGTTAGAGAGAATAAAGTCAAACGCAATTCTTTTATTCATTTTCTTATTACAAAATTTCCGACAAACAAAAGATGGCGACTCCGCTGGGGACTAGCTTCTCTGACGAAGAAGTGGTAGCGCAATCCGATGTTCACCTCACAGGAACAATCGTCGAAACTCTTGTTATGGAGTTTGACCAAGCCAAGTACGAGGAGGCCCTCTCCTTTGGATCGCTTAGCCCCAGGGCTAGGCGAGATGCCTGTCAGAACTCTAAAGAGGTTTTAACTGCTGTTGAGACGCCAAAGAAAGCCCTCTCCTTTGGCCAAAGCCTCAAATTTGCTCTGCAAGCTGAAGAT